TCAGTAACAAATTAATAGCTCAATGAACTCTGGAAGACACTTGAAAATATATAGGAGCAGTTTGACAAAGAGACAAACAGTCTGAAAAAGAACTAAACCAAAATTCTGGAAGTGTAAAGAAAAATAAATGAAATGAAATGCACAATGGAATGTCCTAACATTAGACAGGACAAGCAGGAGAGAGTTTCGGGGCCTGAGGATAGATTGAGGAATTATTACACAGAGACACTAATAAGGAAAGGAGTAAGGAATTATGAACAAAGCATTCAAGAACTCTGGGATACAAAAAATAAACCTATAAAAACTTTTAGTAAATAAGAGAGCACTGAAGTTGTGAATAATGGTATAGAAAATCTATTTAATCAAACAATAGAAAACTCCTCCAATCATGGGAAAGACATAGAAGGCCACTTACAGGAGGCAATTAGAATCTCAAATAAACATGACCAGAAAAGAACTTGCCCAAGAATACAAAATGGCAAGAGTACAAAATAAGAAAAGAACGTTGAAAGCTACAGAGAGAAACACCAAGTCACTTACAAAGGTAAATCCATCAACATAGTTTGATTTCTCTGCAGAAGCTCTTAAGGCCAGGAGGACATGGAACTGATGTATTTCAAGCCCTGACAGAAAATAAGTGCCAGTCTAGATTACTTATATTCAACAAAGCCATCCTTCAAATTTGAGGGAAAAATCACACAAAAGAACAATGAGGGAAGAGTTGGGAGGGAGAACAACAAAATGACAGGAATTAGCATGTACCTTTCTACAATAGCTCTGCACGTGAATGGCTTTAATCCTTCTACTAAGACACATGAACTGACAGACTGGATCAAAAAGTAATATCCAACATTTTCCTGCTAACACACACACACACACACACACACACACACACACACACACACACACATCTCACTAGCAAAGACATACACAGACTGAAAGTGAAAGGACAGAAGTAGCTATACTCATATCTGACCAAAGCTGACTTCAAGAAAAAACTAGTTAGGCAAGACAAAGAAGTCCTCTGTATATTGTAAAGGAAACAATCTGAGAAGATATAAGAGTTATATATATATTTATGCACTGATATTGATGTAACTAATTATATAAAACAAAAATTACTCAACATAAAAGGATACATATCCAATCAATACAACCCAATAACAATGGGTGTCACTCTCAGCAACAGATAGGTCATCCAGACCACTACTCCCACCCAAAATCATCCCCCCAAAACAGAGTTAAACTGTACTATTCATCAAATAGACTTAATAGAAATCTATATAACATTCCATCTAATAACTACAAAATACAAATTATTGTCAGCAGTTCATGGAACATTCTCCAAAATACATTGTATTTTCAGGTCATAAGGTAAGCCTTAACAAATACCAAAAAGTGAAATAAATTTCTTGTGTCTTGTCAGATCAGAGTGCAATAAAACTAGAAATGTACAAATGAGAGAAACTACAGAAAGGGGAAACAAATAAACAGTAAACAACCCCTTTTTAAACAATCAGTGGGTCATCAACAAAATCAGAAGAAAATTTAAAAACTCTTAGAATCAAATGGAAATACAATGTATCAGAACCCTGAGGACACAATAAGGGCAGTTTTAACAGGAAAGTTTATAGCTGAGTATGTACATCAAAAACAAGAGCCAAATGACTTGATGATGCATCTCAAGGTCTTAGAAAAAAAAGAATAAAATCTCAACAAACAGAAAGAAGAAATCAAATTGGAGCTGAAGTTACTGATATAGAAACTATAAAAAACAATATGCAGGATCAATGGAACAAGAGTTGATTGAAAATAAAAACAAGATTGATAAACTCTTAACCAAACTAACCAAAAGAAAGAGAAGATCCAAATCAGTACTTAGAGAAGAGAAAGGCATTGTTACAACAGACCCCACTGATATCCAGAGTAATATTAGTGACTACTTAGAAAACCTAACTAGTAAACTAGAGAATCTAGAAGAAATATATTGCTGGACACATACAACCTATCAAAACTTAACCAAGAAACTACTCCATGAAATAGAAAAGGAAATAACACTTCCAAACTCATTTTATATAGCCAACATCACCCTCATACCAAAAACTAGACAAGAATACAACAAAATTAAGAAAAAGGGGGACAGAGGTTTAGCTCAGTGGTGTAAGCATCTGGCATCTGCCTGGCCAGTGTGAGGTTGTGAGTTTGATCTCTGGCACCAAAAAAAAAAAAAAGAGAGAGAGAGAGAAATTTTAAAAAAGAAAAATGAAAAAGCGAGGGAGGAAGAAAATTATAGTCCAATATCCTTGATAACATGGATGTAAAAATACATAAAATATTGGCAAACTGAATTCAACAGCATAAAAGAAACATACCCTTATGATCAAGTCAACTTTGTTCAAGGCATGAAAGAATAATTTAACATATGCAAACCAATAAATGATACATACTACACAAATAAAATCAAAGCTAAAATCACAAGGTCATCTCAATTAGTGCATAAACAGTCTCTGACAATTACAACATCCCTTCATTATAAATGCCCTGAAGAAAGTAGATAATGAAGAATCATTCCTCAATATAGTAAAGGCCATATATGACAAACCCACAGCCAGCATCATCCTGAATGGAAAAAACTGAAAGCATTTCCTGTAAAATCAGAAATTAGACAAGGTTGTTCACTCTCATCACTCCTATTCAATATAGTTCTGGAAACTTTAGCCAGAGAGGGCTGGGAATTTAGCTCAGCAGCATAAGTGCCTGCCTGGAAAGCATGAAGTAATGAGTTCAATCACTGGTACAGAAAAAAGAACTTTTACCAGAGAAATTAGATAAGAGCAAGAAAGGAAAGAGATACCAAAAGAAAAAGAAAGGAGTCAAATTATCCTTATTTGTAGATGGTATGATTCTAGGCTTAAAAAACTCACCAAAAGAATTTCAGTGCTATTAATTTGGTAAAGTAGGATATAAAATCAACATTAAAAAGCAATACTTTTCCTATGTACTACAAATGGACTAGCTGAGAAAAGAAATAGAAAAACAATTACAGTCACAATAGTTTTAAAAACAAAGTACTCAGGATCAATCTAACTAAGGGGGTGAAATATTTCTGTGATGAAAATTTCAGAACACTGAAGAAAAAAACTGAAAACACTAGAAGGTGATCATGTATTCCTATGTTCTTATGTTCAGGGGTTAACAGAACTTACATTGTTAAAATGGCAATACCATCAAAAGCTACCTACAGATGTAAGCCCCATCAAAGCATCAGTGACCTTCTCTAAAGGTCTAGAAAAATAATTCTAAAATTTATATGGAAACACAAAATTATAAAATATCAAAACAATCCTTAGCAAGAAGAGCAGGTTTGAAGGCATTTCAACTCCCAATTTCAAATTATACTACAAAACCATAGTAACAAAAATAGTATGGTGCTGGTGCAAAAATACACATGTGTCAATGGCATACAGTGGATCACATACAAAAGAAATCCTGCAACTACAGCCTTCTGAGTCTAGGCAAAGGGACCAAAATATACACTGGAGAAAAGACAACCTCTTTAACAAATGGTACTGAAAAGACTGAATAGGTACATAAAGAATATTGAAACTAGATTCCTATCTCCCTGTACAAAAGTCCAACAAAAATAGACCAAAGGCCTAGGTATTACACATGAAACTTTGAAACTACTAAATGAAACATCAGGGAAACACTTGAAACCATAGCAAAGGCCAAGATTTTCTGAACAGGACTCCTACTGGCAATAAGCAAGAATCAACAAATGTCAGTACATCAAATTAAAAAATTTCTGCACATAAAATAACAGAGGCAGCCTGCAAAATGAGAAAAAAATCTTTACTAGCTATTCTTCTAATGGAGAATTAATATCTAGCATATAAAGAAATCAAAAAACTCAAATAGCTTAATAAATGGGCAAATGAGCACCTCAAAAGAAGTGCAAATTGCTACTAAGTATATAAAAAAGTGTTCAACACTTTCAGCCATTAAGGAAACACAAATCAAAACTACACTGAGATTCCATCTCATCTCGCACAGAATGGCTATCATCAAGAAAAAATGTAGCAATAATGCAAGGGGGCAAGTGGAGGAAAACTTCTATACTGTTAGTGGGAATGTAAATTAGTACAGTCACTGTGGAAATCAGGATAGAGGTCTCTCAAAATAAATTAAAACTAACATTAGATCTACCATTTGATCCAGCAATATGACTCCTTGCTATAAAGCCCAAGCACTTAAAGTTAGTTAAGGAATACCTGCAAACCCACATTTATTGTGGCATAATTCATAATAGCCAAGAAATGGAACCAGTCAAGACACCTATCAACAGATGAATGGATAAAAGAAATGTGATGTGTATATATAATGGAACATTACTAAGGCAGAATGAAATTTTGTTATGTGCAGGGAAATGGATAGGTCTGCAGGTCATCATGTTGAGCAAAAGCAATCACTCTCAGAAAGACAAATATTGCATGTTCTCCCTAATATGTGGAATCTAAAACAAATGACAAGCAGGACACAAATTATTATTATACAAGTATAAGGAAAGAAAGAGGAGGGAAGATGTAAGGGAAAATAATGAGAAAATATATATGATCAAAATGTATTAAATGTATTGAAATGCAAACAGAAAATGTGAAACTATGGGGGAAGAAAGTCAAGGGTGGCTGGGTGGCAAAATGATTAAACTATGTTACATGGATGTACAACTCCGCCAAAATGAAATCCATCAGTCTGTAAAACCAGTGTGCACTAATTTTAAAAAATGATGTCAAGAAAACAACTTATTTATCCATTCAGAAAAAATGATCAAGAAGTGAATTCATTAACAATTGTTTTTAAAGAATTTCAGATGACCTTGAAAACTGTTCATAATTCAATGTAAAATTAGTACAAAGTATTAAGTTAAAAAATAAATGGGCTTGATTTGTTTTAAAATTCATAAACACATAATGAACCAAGAAATTGTGTTTTTCTTACAGGATTGGGGCTACACATTGCAACTAAAGCTTAATAACCTTTATGTAAAAGATATTCCAAGAGTCATCAAAACTGATATCTATGAAGAAAATGTAACCTATGTTTTCCTCATACATGGCTCAGTAGAAGATTGTCACCTACGGAAGACATATAATGCACCTTTCTTGATTCCTGCGACATGCCATCAGGTAAAAACAAAAGTGATTCAAGTTTTTGAGTCAACCTACTCTATGTCTACTGTATTAGTAACAGGAAAAATGTCACAATAACCAGGCTTTCCACCTTCTAATCCTTCTCTTTCTCCTACGCATACCCACACACACCCACATACAGTGTTCATCGGTTATGTTGGTACTGATTGTCTAAGAACAAGTTATTTCCATTTGGTGCCAGAGAAACAGATCAAGCTATGCATTTTGGTCACAGTGAGATTTTGGTGCAATTGTACATAGCAAAAGAGGAAGTATTTATTTACATTTTGCAGAAAGACTGTGTCAACATTACATTAGATAAGTTCTGCCTGACTCAGACAAGTTAAATATCACTGATTTCCCTCAGCTACTTTGAAAGAAAATATAAAGTGAAGGTCTTTTCATAAACTGGTAAGTGACTTCCCTTGCCAATCAAAATGAGAAACTGAGTCATTCCTGTGCAAAGAAAAATTGTATGTATGTGCATATAGAATATGTGAATATGTTTGTGTTGAGGGAAAGTGAGAGTTGTCCTTGTGCAGACAGAGGGCACATAAAATACATATGCAGGAAGAGGGACCTAGAGTCAGTTAAATTAAGCTCAAATATATTTAAATACATTTTAAAGCAGTTAATATATGATACCAGTTATGCTAGATATTCAAGTGATAACGGGCAAATGAGATGTACAAATTGCTGTCAAGAAATATCTAAATCAAGTGGAAAGAAACAGATAGAAAATGATCCCTGAGAATCAGGACAATAACTTATCATCCTCCAAATAATTCATTGTTAAGTGAAATTACTTGACAAGTATTTTGTCAGTGTATGTGAATTTAATATTATTTTTTAATTTTGAGGTTTTATTTTATTTTGGTGAGCTTCTTTTGAGAGATTAAATAAGAAACATCCAGGAAAAATGTCCTCAAACTAATTGAGTAGGCTTATCCACTGCATAAGCCATATTATGAATATTTTAATGCCCCTTGTGTATTAAATTGTCATCAAACTTGTAGAAATAGAGATATAATAAGCTTATAAAAGAAAATGGACTCAGCTTGGTGGAAGATTACCCTGGAAAACGAGAGTACATTTCTGAGCCAGAATTTTTATGACTTTATATATGAAGTGGGTTTGTAAACAAATATAGGAATCCAGGCAGCCAAATTGATAAATTTGGAATTGTATTAGCTAAGCTCAGTGACCGCTCACATAGACCCCTGTTTCAGAGTCCCACTAAGTAGTGGTGAGCTGAAGTGTCACAAGACATTCAAAGCAAAAAACCGCAAGGCAAAACATCTTGTTGGAAACAATTTAGCTAGAATCCTACATTAATTTTGGTTGACACCTGTATCCTGCCTCTTTGTTGAGCATGCTAATTTTTCTCTTGTGGGTGCAGTTCATTTTGCTTTTCTCATGGGATTGTACTCTAAGTTAATTTTTTACTCTTCTGGGTCAATACAGGGCACAAGATGGCATCAGTTATGCCAATCTACAACAATGTATTTCCCGTTCACACTGCTCTTGCCTGTTTTACCAAGCTACGATCTTGGTATAGCTTATTCCTGTTTACTACTGATTTAATTTCTTAGCAGAAATGGCCTTGTAAAAGTTTTGAATCAAATTGCATCCTAAACACATGAATATTTTAATTACCAAACTATGTGTGATTAATCTTGTACAAGGGAAACCTGGCAGTTTTTAATGTTTACCAAAAAAAGAAATGGCAGAAGCATTTGGTCAAAATAATACCATACTATTTAGTGTGGTTTAGTCTTCAATTAGAAAGAAAAACTCTATTGTGTGATTATCTTTCCATCCATTTGTTCTAATGTATCACAAAAGTATACGTGAAAATAATATAAACTAAAATTAAAATGTAGTATTATATAGTAAGGTTAAAATAGTTAAATTTTATGATGCCATGTTTGCTGGATAACATTTGTGTTATATAATATCAAATAATTCTTTTAAGGATTTTCAACTAGGCCTAGTGATGTAATTCAATGGATTTTGTATTGCTCAATACTAAAGTCTTCATGTTGGCTACTAGTATATATGCTTTTAATAAAAATGTAGCATGTTTTATAATGAAGGAGAAAGTAGTAAATAATTTATTATTTTTATCTAGAGAGTTGAAATCCTGAATTAAGTGAGTTGTTAGTAAATAATAACTTCAATGGTTACTCACATTGGTTTACCACTGAAACTTAAGAGAATGTTTTGAATCCATCTGGTGTTAGGTTGCTATACAAATCAGTTAGTTGTATTCTCACCATCCTTCTTGTGATTCACTACATTTAAAGTGTTGGGAAGCACTGGCTTTTCATTTACATTTTTTTACTCCATCCTTCCCTCTACCCTGCAATATGTTACTCATATAGTTTTGATGCTGCGTAAATACACATTTTCTCATGTCTATTTGCTTTAGATGCTGTGAATCAAGCTGTAACAAAATGTTGATTCTTTTGTTATCTATACACAGCTGCTTACTTTGAAAGAGTACATTCTAAATAGTTTTTCTTGCATGTCTTAAATAAAAGTACTACATATATAAAGCAGGAGAAAAGGAAAAAGAAAAAGTGTTAAGAATGTAGGCCTCTGAGGGAATAAACAGTCACAAAAATTTCTTTAAATGGACTTTCCCAGCACGTGTGATGCCCAATGACAGGGACTCAAATGCCCATTGTGATACTCCATGCCTCTGTTATTAGGCCTATAACAGAGCTTTGGTTCTATAGTGCTGGTTGGGAATTTAGACAGACAACCAGGAGATTCTTGAAGCAGCTTGAAACTTGCTCAATCCTGTCTCCTAGACATCGCCCGGCTCATTATGAACCTGCATACCAATGTGAGTCAAAGCATATTGAAAAACATCTCCAAGTTGAATGATTTCTTAGAATTTATTCTTTTAAAAATTTTCCAACTTACAGAAAATAAATTTGATTGATTTTTTAAGTGCCATAGATAATTAAACTCATTCATTTTCTCATTTCAAAGAGAAATAAAATATCAAATCCAATATAAGTGGATGAAATAATGACCTTCATAAAATCAATCTGGAAATTTTAAGACATCTTCTTGTCAGTGTCAGCTTATTGATATGTTCCATTTTCTCCTCATTGCCTAAGGAGAGTTTGAAATAGTAGCTTAACAGGCAAACATTTAATTGTATGCTACATATTCAGAAATTAACTTGCATTCTGTTACGTTTCAGGTACAAGGCATAGAAGATTTCACAAAAGTAGCAGTTATTCGTACTTCAATTGATATGAAAAAATCCAGATGGCACTCAGGAAAGTTTTTACCTTTAATGGGAATGCCTTCAGTATCAGAATCTTTAGGTGAGTCAGAGTCGTTTGGGCAATTTTGAGAATTTTACTTACCTTTTATAAAATAGCTATATGTATACTTGGAAGCTATATGCATTCTAACCAAGAATATTGAAGAATCCTTTTAACTGATGTTTGGCTTCGAATATATAAAGTCAGACTGAAGTCAGTTATACTGAGAAATTTTTGTGTTTCACCTATAAAAATTAGCATGTACTTACCAAAATAATGTGGAAAAAAAGATTTAGGATTACTAGCTCTCTCTCCAAATTAAAGTAATTTATATAATAATAATAATAGTAAGGTCAAACTTTATGAATAGCGCACATATAAATAAGTAGAACTGAAGGGATACGTTTAATATAAACTCTATTCTTCATACAAATTTGACGTGATAAAAATTATATCCTAGTGGAATGATTATTTTAAAACTACTAATCTATTAAAATTAGGAAAATAAGTTCAAGATAGACTTAAAATTTCACAGTAAACAATTAAATTATGGAATATAATCATGATAAAATTTAACATTTATCATTTCCCTAAATAGCATACAATATTCTAAATTTAGAAACATAGACTAATTTTAAAATTTTGAGTGTCAGTTACAATGTTACTAATCAAGAAATAAGCAAAAATATTTCACAGAAGAAAATTCACAGCAAAATACAGTCTCTCAGCCGGGAGTGGTGGCTCACACCTGTGGTAATCCCAGCACTCAGGAGGCTGAGGCAGGAGGTTTGTTGTGAGTTCAAGACTAGCCTGGGCTACAAAGTGAGCTCAAGGCCAGCCTGAATTGCATAGCGAGACCCTGTCTCAAAAAGACCAAAAAAAAAGACAAGACAGTCTCTCTCAGACGTAGAATCAAGACATTTGGAAAAAAAAAAACAACTAGATAAAGAAAAAAGAAAAAGGGGGCTGGGGATTTAGCTCAGCAGCATAAGCACCTGCCTTGCAAACAGGCAGTCGTGAGTTCCATCCCTGGTACCGATAAAAAGGAAAAAGACAAAAAAAAAGTAAAAAGAAAAAAAGTAAACCTGCAAGAATTAGGAGGGGGCCGGGGATTTAGCTTAGTGGTTGAAGCCGTTGCTTGTTAAGTACATGGTTGTGAGTTAGATCCCCAGCACCAAAAAAAAAAAAAAGAACTGGGAGCTGACAGGAAACTATAGAGAAGCTGGAAAAATGAAGCACAGTGCACACAAAAGACAAAATGTGTGGAAAGTTAATGTTGTCCCTCAAGAAAGAGGACTTGTTCCTGCTCATGAACGTATATCCAGAGAAGACTGGGAATGCTGGTCCAACAAAAGCCCACCATGCTGTGAAGTGCAAAACAGAATGAGGTTCTAGTCTGAAAGTGACTCTTCCCACACGGCAAACTAAAATTGAAGAAAAAATTCAGGTCAGCACTTTCATATTTGAGAGGGTTAATCAGGAGCCATTGTGGGAAGGAGTCAGTGCAGAAGAGTGAGCTACAAAGACCCAAAGCGTTATGGCTTATGTCCCCCCGAAGCTTCATTCACCCAGAGGTGGGACTTTTGGCAGTAACTGGATCATGGACGTGTGATTCTGGAGTACTCCACTGATCAGTTTATCCTAATTCTGGGAATGCATGATGGATGTACTACAGAAGGAAAGCCCACCCTGGGTGTAGGTGGTACCAATCAAGAGGCTTGTACACCAGATGGACTAAAAACAGGAAAGGGAAAGGAATTCTCACTGTTTCCTGCCTCCCTTACCATGGACTGTTTTTCCCTGCCTTGGAGCCAGCTGACTATGGATTGAAAGTTCTATCAACTATGCACTAAAATAAACCTTTCCTCTTTTAATCTGTGGGTATCAGCATTGTGTCTCAGCAACAAGAAAGTAACTAAGACAGTGATACATGCATACCCATGTTTATAGCATCACAAATTACAATAAGTAAATACTGTAGGTGGCCTATATGCCTATTAACAGATGAATAGATAAAGAAAACATGGTATTTATCCACAATAGAGTACTACTATGCCATAAGTAGATAAACTTGAGGCATTCACAGTTAAAGGAATGTACTTTGAGACCATAATATTAAGGCAAACAAGTCAAATACAGAAGTATAAGCATCACATGATTTGTCTTATGTAATAAATCCAAAATATAGTTGAAGGCCACTTTCAGAGTGGGAGCAACCACATCCAAGCTTCTCTCTGTGAGTCAGTGCCATTCACAGCCTGCAGGGGGACAAAACAAGGCCTCACTAGGAGGTGATCCCTGCCTTGAAATTGTTTTCATTGTTTTCTTGGGTTGGGTTTTCTTTTGTTAAGTTTGATTACCTTAAATCTGATAGCATGAGCAGTTGTTTAAAAGATAGCAAGACATATTATGGTAGCCATTTTGGATTTACAATTAGCTTCTTTTGAATTCCTTTATTACATTCATTGTTTTGTTTTTCTTATTTCTACTCTATTCTATTGTGTTCTATTTTTTTACTGTGTCTGAAATTATCTGCAGCTATTTTGAAGACAACAAAAGACATTATGGTACTATTGCTGATTTCTTAAAGCTTTGAAGTCCGGTATCACTTATCCTAGTCTGTTTTGACTGGTTTTACTCTGTTTTAGTTTCCTTGGTTTTATCCTCTTTAAAATAAAAAAAAAATAGGTTCAATTGAAAAAAAAACAAAGTATAATTAAAAGGCTAATAAGAGGTGAAGGGAGGAGGGATGTGAGGTGTAGTGTACAAAAGAAAAAGAATTAAGATGTGTTACGTACACGTATCAGCTCTCCTTAATGAATGTAATCGTGAGCTTTAAACATGTACCAATTTAAAAGAGGACTAAGCTTCAGAACAACCTGACTTCAGGGTCTCTGGGGTCACCACAGTGACTAGACAGGAGATGGCCACAAGAGACAGTCACAGAGAGGACACTGGTGAGACATACACTGACTGAGAAGTTTAAACCCACACTGAGAAGGAAAGCAGGGTCCTTAGAGAAGCCAGGCTGGTCATGAGTGGTTTTCGGAGGAGACTGGTTCTAAAAATGCTGGCATGAAGTCCAGCAGACTCCTTGGCCATTGCCCACTCCCATCCCACTGCCTGCCTCTAGCACAGAGCTCAGTGGTCTGTTTACTTTCCCCATCTACCAAGTGATTAAGGAGTCACCTCAGCTTGGACAGCTGCTACAGCCTGGGTGGGTTTATGGACAGAGAGGCCTCTGGAGTAGGAGGGAGTTGAACTGAGCAGAGAAACACAGAGAAAATACCTCACTGCTTGTACATCAGTCTACTTGTGTCTGGAATAACAAAGGGAAATTAAATTAAAAAGAAAACATAGAAAAGATAGTTATGATAAAGTACTAGTTAACTTCTAGAGTCCACTGATTAGGTCGAGTGTGCAGGACTCAGCTTTATAGAATATTTGGGGTGATGGAAGGAGGAGCCAGGGAAGCTAATATTCTTCCTGTATGTAGCTCAAAAAGCACTGCTTGCCCATCAATTAAAAAAAAAATAGATGGTGATACAGTTGTTAATAAAAAAAGAGCAGATGCCAGCCCCTTCCAATTAGCGCCATTTGTGCCAACCACTCCTGGCTCGTGAGCTGAGAGACAAGAAGAGCTAAGGTTCCCCTGCTGCCCTCTGTGAGCGACCAGCTGATCTGGAGAAACACAGGCTGAGATAATAGCTATTGAAGTAAAATACAACTTAATGCTTGTGGTGTGTAGTGTTTCACTGACTCTTAGGCTAAAGTTGGTAGTCTGATTATCTATTTAGAGGGTAACAGTATGCAAGATAGCATCTATGGGGGATCTTCTTGTAGCCATTGTTAATTCCCTATTATCCTGTTTTAAAGTCCTGTATCATTTTCATGATTTTGGGGGGGGGGGGTTTGGTATAATTGTTTAATTTTATTGTATGTGATGGCAATGGTGACTGTTTCAAAGATAAGATATTATGGTAGCTATTTTGGATTTAATATTATCTTGAAGTCCTGTATTATGTTCACTGCTTTGGTTTTATTGGTTGTATTCTGTTTTGTTTGATTTTCCTATGTCTGAGGTATGAGCTACTATTTTGAAGACAACAAGAGGCATTAAGGCAGCCCTTGTTGATTTCCTATTATCTTGTTTTGAAATCTTGTATCACTTACGCTGTTTTGTTTTGATTGGCTCTATTCTGTTTTATTTTGCTTGGTTTTATTTTCTTCAAAATTAAATATATTATAAAAATAAAAGAAGAGCAACACGGAAGTGAAATTTCATTAAATGAGAAAAGCATCAGCTCATGGTTCATATAAGAAACTCATCAAGTTGTGTTAGGCAGGTGATGCTTTGAAGTTAGCTGTGTTTCTGGGCCTGCTCCCTTCCCCTTGCCCAAAACTTCTTCACCAGGACTACAGTTTTCCATTTACAGAATGAAAAGTCCCTTCAAAGACTTGTCCCAACCTCCAAAGCTCCTTACAACGTGTTCTGGTCTCCAAGCTGAAGTACACAGCGCCGTCCCTGACTGACATCCCACTCTAACTACCTCGCTCCTATACCACCTCACTTACAAACCAGACTCTTACTAACAGCCTTACAGTTTGGCTCTTATCTCCTACCTCAATTTCTAGATTTAAAAGTTCAAATAATGAGAATAACGGCACAGAAGGAATAATCTAGGAAAAAAGCTAAGTAAAAGTCCAGGAAGATGCCTCAGCTTCTTCAGCATGACCAGGAACATACCTATGCCTGGACGCAGACACTGAAGCCAGCAGTTCTGTTGCCCTTTGTGTGACAGTGTGAATTACAGCACTTTCTGCTAGCCAGTTGATTGTCCTAATGACGGTGTTTCTAAATTCCAATTTGAAAAGTTAACTTAGGTTTCCTTTATTTAGATGTTTAACAGCTTTAGATTTCCCAGTTTGCTCTCAATTCTACTTAATCTCACATACCACATTCAATGCTTCCAATTCATGTAGGTAATTTTTTCAGGTATTTTTGAAAGATATAAAGAGATAATAAAATAGGGTCAGTTCTCAAGTATTTATGTTCCATTTAAGAGATGAAACATACCAGATGGCAATTAAGTAACAATACAAGATACACTATGGATAGTGCCAGCTGACCACGGAAGAATTCAAGAGAAACAGCATAGAAAATGACTAAAATCCTTGTGGAGAATGAAAGAGAATGTTCAAAATATTGTACACAAGAGAGTAAGACATGACAGTTGGAGAGTCAGACAATGAGTCCCAAGTTTTGCCAGTGTCCACGAGACAATATTTGTGTATATGTGTGCTTTACGTGACTATGTCACATAAATCATATTACTAATGTAAAAAACTAAAAGATATCAGGCAAATAGGTCTGTCTCTACTTAAATTACTGTAACCTAATGTAAATTAATGTCACTTGCTATGACAAACACTATATTTACAAAGGGGCTTAAAAGCTAACAACATACTACATAAAAAGTGTTTACAAGAATTATTTGCTCACAATACAATTAATGTCCCTTTTCCTTGGAAAGATGTGTACAAGACAATAAAGAATGTGTTATAAGTCTGAGAGATAAGCTTATGAACAACCAATTTAGCTCATAGTACTTAGAATATGAGAATAGTAAACAAAGAAATTGTAAATTAAGTAACGATTATGTATTAATATTTGCTTTTTCAAATACAATTTTTATTCATGGTAAAATCTATCCCCCATCAAGAAATAAAAATTGAATGATAATGGTTTTCTTATATTTTTATTATGTTTATTGGTACAATTGAGATTAACATAATGATCCCATTCATCACAGGGAACTTACACCTATGCATGATACGTCTTAGTTCCTCTTTCTTCTTCTCCGAATCTCCTTTCCTCCGTTCAACACTACTTCTCTTCCTTATTTATAAAACTTTATTTCCATTTTATCCTTTTTTTCTCAATTTTCCCCCTTTTCCCTTCTCTATCCAACCCTGTTCCTGTTTCCTTTTTAACAATTTCTTCCTCTTTCATAATACCTATTAGATATTTTGGTTCTTATTTACACTTTCAGTTTCTCACATCAGAGGAACAATGCAATATTTACATGTGTGTCTGATTTATTTCACTTCAGAGTATTGTCTCCAGGAACATCTATTTGGCTATAAATGCCTCAAGTTTATCCTTCTTTATGGCTGAGAAATACTCCATTGTACAAACAAAACCACATCTTTTTTATCCCTTCCTCAGTTGATGGACATTTGGGTTGTTTCCAAGATTTAGCTATTACAAACTGTGCCACTGTAAATAGGGGTGCACATAGATCATGGAATGATACTTTTAATTCTTTTGGCAAGATACCAGGAGGAGAAACAGGTGGGTCAAATGGGACCTCTAGCTTCAGGTTTTTGAGGAATCTCCACACTGATTTCCACATTAGTTGCACAAGTCTACACTCCACCAACAGCTGAGAAGGGGTTGTCGTGATGGCGCACAGCTGTAATCCCAGCATTCAGGAAGCTGAGGCAGGAGAATGGCCATGACTTCAAGGCCAGCATGGGCTACACAAGCAAGTTGAAGGCCAGCCTGAACTATACAATGAGACCCTGTGGTAGCAGGTAGAAAAACAGGGAAAAGGGGTTCTTTCTTCCCCCACAGCCTCACCAGCATGTGTTATTGGTTGCTTTCTTGATGAGAGCCATGCTTTTGGGATGAGATGGAATCTCAGTGTTGTTTGCATCTCTTGAATGACCAGTGATGTTAAACAATTTTTAAATTTCTATTTCTTCTGAGAAATTTCTATTCATTTCAGATGCCCATTTTTGGATTGGGTCTTTAAATTTCGGGAATCTGATTTTTTCAATTTTTTATATGTTCTAGATATTAGTACTTTACCTGAAGAACAACTGGCTAAGATTTTTCCCACTCTGTGCACTGTCATTTCACTTTGTGATTTCTTTTGCTGTGCAAAAGCTTTTTAATAAGATGAGATCTCAGCTGTTGATTCTTTATAGTATTTCTTGTGCCACTGGGGTTTTGTTCATGAAGTCTTTGCTTATAACTGTGTCTTCAAGAATTCTGCCTGATCTCTCTTCCAGCAGATTTAGCATTTATGCTTTAATATGCAGATCTTTGATCTATTTTGGTTTTACTTTGGTGCGTGCTGTTAGCCAATGGTCTAATTTTAGTCTTTGGCATTTGGAAAGTCAGGTTTTCCAGCACCATTTACTAAAGATGCTATCTTTCTTCCAGTAAAGGTATTTGGCCACTTTGTCTAAGATTTAGGTGGCAAAATGTGTTGGAAGATGTTTCTGCATCTTCTAATCTGTTTCTTTGATCCTCAGGTCTGTTTTTTACTAGTTCTATGCTGTTTTTATCATAGTAATGCTGTAATATAATAAACAGAAAATTTCTTAACACAAGCCCTTAAGTCAAAGACAACTTGGAGTGAAGTATTTCAAGTCCTAAAAGAAAATAACCTCCATCCTAGATTGATGTATCCTCCACAATTATCTTTCAGAATTATTAGAGAAATAAAATACTTCTATGACAAAGAACTGAAGAAATTCATGACAGTGAAACCAGCTCTACAAAGGGTTTTGAAAGAGATAATAAAGACCACAATTATAAGAGTACCATTAGAAACAAGCCACCAGGCAGGCCAGCAATTAAACAGAAGGGAAAGACAGGGAGCCATCAGCAGGGAAATAATATGGGAAGGACAAGCCAATACATATCAGTTACAACTATGAATGTAAGTGATCTTAATTTACCAATCAAAAGAAATAGACTGGCAGAATGGATCAAGAAATAAGGCCCAGCAATATGCTGCATTCAATAAATATATTTAACTCAAAAAGAAATCCATAGACTAAAGATCAAAGGAAAGAAAACAATACTCCATGTGACAAGATCCCAGAGAAAAGCAGGGGTATCTATTCTACTCCCAGACAATGTGAACTTCAGGCCAGTACTGACCTTGTATTTTGCTGGTTGATGATTGAAAGCGATTTGTAACAAAAGTCACAAAAATTCTCTCACACTTTGCTTTAGCTATTCTGCTTCTGGGAATCAACCCCCCCCAAAAAATATGTATTAAAGCACATTAAATGTCTAAAGCACTATTTCTAATGGCAAAAATAAAAAAGTTTTAAAATATCCCAACAAGAGTGTACATAATTCTATACAGAATATCCATGCAGAATAAAACAAACCATATTTTCACTTAAAAGGTGAGTTGGATAGTCCAGTATAAAACATAAAGCAGAAGACAAAACATACAACACACAATAGGCAACATTTTAATATAGAACATTTTAATATAGAAATGGCTGTAAAATATAAATCCACATGAAAAATAGATGAAAGCAGAGGTACTTTTGTTTGGATTATTGAAACAAATCATTTGAGAGTTACTGTCTCATCCTTTACACCACATGTTACATTCAGCAGTGCTGTGAAAGGAAATAGGAATAGCCTGAGCTGAAATCAGTGAGTGGGAATAACCAAAGTCAGAGCTCTCCAAGGTGGGAAACCTTCCAAAAACCATCCCTGTCCAGTTTAGTGTGCCTCAGTGGCTTCCTGGACTTTGACTCCTGTTTAAAGTCATGCTGCCGCTGCTTTTTTAATGAGTGATGCCCACTCAAACATTGAACTTCCTTCCTTGGCCCCAACAATGACAAGAGATGCTTCATGTGGGAGTGGAACTGACCCCCTAGTACATCTTACTATGGTTAACAGATCATGGATGAAAGATTCCAAAGCTCTCTGTTTTTCTTCCCACTTGTGCTTTACACAGTTGACAAGACGACGCTGGAGTCTGCTCCACAGAGTGAGACTTTGATAAGCACAAGTATCTGAAACACTCTTCGTACATCAAGTGGGAGCAACTTAAGTTGGATCCTGCGCAGTGCTCTTAGAGCCATGAAGGCAAGAAGTTTCAACTTTCTGACTAATCTGCTCAAAGTATTTCACATTTTTGCAAAATTTTCTATTATTTTATCATTTCCCATTTTTATTATTTTCTATTATTTTAATAGTAAAACATCTCAGGAAATGGAGTAAGCTTTAAACCCAAAAAATAAGCTATGTCACCCAGATAGTTTATAAATTGCTCTTGGAGCAATCATAGTTTGGTTTTAGGAATAAAAAGATGTTATCAATATATGGTTTCACTGTTGGTCTTGATCCAAGTATTGTTTTTTTGTCATCCATAATTCTCAATCCTTTGCGAGTTCTCAGTGAGTTAAAAATGGAAACTGAGTCAGTCTGTGCAATATATCTTAGTCTTAAATGAAACTTCCAGAGTCTGTTGTGTTCACCACTGTAGTGTCAACAATGAGCAAAAGGTCTGATATGTAACTTAGAAAATGATCTTTAAGGTTAACAGTGAATACATTTTCTGCCTGCTTAGTATACGCTGTACCATGAACAGTATAATATGTAGTTATGAATTAATCTTTGCAACAATCATATATAGTAGATAATCTTTGTCTTACCTTTCTTTGCTGTGACAAAATACCTGGCCAAAAAAAAAACTTTAAGAAGGAAAGGTTGGCTCACAGTTTCACCCCATGGTTGCCTGACTTCATTGCTTTTGGACTGTGACAAAGCAAAATACCGTGGGAAAAATGCCTGACAGCCAGGAAGCAGAGAAAGAACCAGAAAGGAAGGAATTAAGAGACCAGGTCCTCACATTCATGACTCCTACCCCACTCCCGTGAACTAGGGTCATTGCCTGCTTCTGTCTCCTTCCAATAATGCCATCAAATTATGAGCTTATTATTGGATTAATCCTTCAATGAAGTTAAGATTTTCATGATCAAATCACCTTCCAAATGCCTCATTTTGAAGATATAAAACTTCCGAGAGGCATGTTAGATCTAAACCATAATGCCTAATTTCCATTTCACAAATGAATAGAAAAGTGAGTCTGAGAAATTTGCAGAAAACTTTACAGCTAGTAGGAAGCAGATTAGAAATTTAAAAATAAGTTACTATACACAGAGCTCTACATTGTGGTAAGCCCTAAGTAAATGGTCTGAAGAATTAATACAATTTAAGAATATGTCTTCAGGATCAGTCTTCTTCTTAAAGTTAGGAAATCTGAATGCTATGCCAGACAACTGGTGGTGGGCATATATTAGGGAGCCATGTGTAGAGTTTCCGGCCACAAACCTGTCCTTGTGGAAAGAAAAAAACTTGGTCTGTTCCTTCTGAGGAAAGTCAAGTCAAACTATTACCACATTTCTCTATAATTAACCTCAATCAGTCCTTTTTCTGTGATGATTTCATGGCAGCTGCTCTGATGTTTGAGGGATCCAACCAACAAGAGCTCTCTCCTCTTGAATTCTAGACCAGCTAAAAAGACAAAGGATTCAGTTAGTTAAAACACACACACACACACACACACCTGATTGTAACTGATTGAGCTGACACATAAGAATATGGTTGCTTTCTTTTCATTGGAATCTGAAAGATTGGTGACTATAGACACTTTCCACTAGGATTAATGGATAGTTGAGAAAAGTAGAAAATACAAAATTTCTAAAGGTAAATTCACTTCCAGAAAAGGATCAGGAAAAAGGAACTACACAAGAGTTCTCAGGCTCTGCTTCCATTTCCTCCACCAGATTCACCATTGTGGTAAAGAGAATGAGATGGACCAGGATGGTGAAGGGTTCAGCCTCAACCCAAGACAAACACTAGGGAAAAAATGCTGTGGTTCTCTTCACCAAAAGCAGCTATCATTCACAGACAGCCTGGTGTATCAGCTCACACAGTCATCCCAAGAATTTTAGGAGGTCAGTCCTACAATTAGCTTCAATTAAAAAGGATGTAATGGAGCTTGGAAAATTGAGCTAAATTGCTCAAGTTACACGGTAAGATGTGATGACACTGAGGATCAAATTCTTCAACATACTCAGCATCATTTGCAACACTCTTTAGGTTGTCAGGATTTTAGGCCATCAGAGTGGACAACCAAACATACCACAGTATTAGTCACCGTGACTGTGCAGCCACAGATTTGAACAGCTCCTCTCTCGCAGCGAGTTGTCTCAGGGAAAAGGTGTCATCAGCTACTGTCATCTTCTTTGTTGGATTTTTTCCTTCTTTTTTTTTTTTTTGGTACTGAGAATTGAACTCAGAACCTCACCTCAGGAAGGTACTGTGCCACTGAGCTACATCCCCAGCCCTAAAGTTTTTCTTCTCAGTCTCTCTGTGGGCTTCAATGTGCACTTCAGATCTTCCAAGGGAGCCACTGCCCTCCTCCTTGTCTTCCTCACAATGTGAATTCCAGCTTCTGGATGGTGACTCAGAGAGGCTGTTTTCTCTGCCACTTACCACTGCACCATCCTTCTGGAAGTCTCATTATCTTTAAAAGATACATTTCATGCTGGGTTTGTCACTTCATGCTTGTAAAACAGCTGCTGTATTCCAAACAGGAAACAAAAACCTTACTGTCAATTTCCAGTAGGTTTTTACTTATATGAAAGCAATGTGTCACATGGACGCCCTAGCTGTGAGGAACCAGACAAGGCAAGAATTTTAGCTATATGCTACCCTCATCAAAAATCATGGCTCTTTTAGCCAGAAAGTAGGGAACTGATCAGGGAGGTAACCAGCAGAGTCTGGCATGTGCTTTAAAATACAGGTTTTACTATTATATATTATGATAAGGCCGACAGATGAGAGAGCACCAGTGTTGAAAATACAGCTGTAGAAGTCTCAAATCCCCACAGGTGAGTATTGGGAAGCACCAGGTAAGTTAGGAGGCAGAAGGGCTAGAAAGAATGTGGGCAAGAGATTTTACTGTGTTTCCATGGGAAACAACAAGCAAAGCCAGGGCCCCTTTATTGCATGGTCTCAGAGTGATAAGGGCAGGTGGATCGCGTGAGAAGCCAATAAAGAAGGCAGTTGCGAAGCTGAGTGTGGTGGCACATGCCTGTAATTCCAGTCCTTTGGGGAGCTGAAGGATCACAAATCTGAACACATCCTGGACAATTTAGTGAAGAGACAGTATCAAGAAACAAATGCATTTTTAAAGGGGCCAATCCTCAGTACAAAAAAAAAGGGGGGTGGTTGTGAATACAGGCCCTGTGCTGATTGGGCTGCACATGAAAGGCAAATTCATTGAGTCACTTACTGTATCTAGGAATTGGCTAGCACATAGAAGACAGTCCCACCAGGTTGGCAAGGGCCCCAAGACTCAAAACATCAGAATATAGAAAATAAATGGCATGGTGTTTTAGCTACTTTCCTGTTGGAAAGACAAAATACCCAACACCCCTAAGCTAAGGAGAAAAGACTTATTTTAGCTCATAGTTTGTAGAGGTTTCATAATCAGCTGGTTCCAAGAGAGGGTGGCGTGACAAAGGAGAAACAGTCCATGGCAGGGCAAGCAGAACACCGCAGCTTACCTCCTTTTCTGTTTTATTCGATCTAGGTTACAAGTCTATTGGTTGGTACCAGGCAGCGTGGGTCTTCTCTCTTAAGCAAATCTATCACCTATACCCAGAACTACACTAAACCAATGAGTTGATTAATCTAGTGTCACATATCCAGTCACTTCCTAAAAATCCCACCTATGAGTGCATGAGGCTTTTGGGGGAATGTTGAGATTAATACAAACAGTGGATATCATTTTCTAGAGCAGGAGTGCAAGGTCATAATCCCCAATAAAAAGCAGGGATACTGATAAGTGTCTAGGTGGCAGTGGTGGTGGCAGTGGTATTAGAGGTTGAGAGTGTAAAGGACCCCATGGAGCCACAGCTCTGATTTCCCTGTCTCTCCCTCCACTGTCTCTTCCTCGGTGGGCAGCCTTCTGGTCTTGAAGTCTCTAGGTAGCCCATGCTGGACTGGAAATCCTGATCCTTCTCCTTAGCCTCCCATGAGCTGGCATTACAGGCAAACAAAAACCAACAAAAAGAAAAGAAAAGGAAAGGGATCCTTTACCTAACCTGTCCAAGCAGAGTAAGGGAGAAGTCACCAATGTACTAGAAGAAGCCTGGTGCCTCAGGAACATGAGAATTGCCTTCTGTGTGCCCCAAACACTGTTACCTGTGTGGTGGTCCGCTTCCCAAGGTATGAAGGAGCCAGAGAAAATAATTTGGAAAGAAAAAATTATTTATTAAAGCACAGCCCTGGCGATGCAGCCTCCAGTAGCCAATATGGAAGACTGTGCACCTAACAGCTAAGGGCAGGGTTTTTATCCTGTAAAACCACAAGCATCTGCTGGTCTCACAATGCAGGGGGCATTTTTACGGTGCACTACAGAACAGGAACATGGCGGTTACATTTCTTGAGAAGAACAAGGTTCAAGCAAGGGTTTGGCTAACAAGCAAGTTTAGATTAGGCAAACATCCTCTGGGGAAGGCACATCCTGCAAACAAGCGAGTTTAGATTACAAAGACATCCTGTTCGACTCTTAGAGTTACCTTTGATCTTTCTCCTGCCTCCGGGGGGACTTCTGAGGGGGTTTTATATATGTTACAACAACCTGGAGTCAGCTTCCTGTGTGACTGAGTCTGCACTGTTGCTCGCTCGGCCCCTGGAAGTTCGCCCCAAAGTGCACCTCCGAGTGAGTCTGATGGTTGTGCTGCTGCCTCTGAAACATGGGGATGCGAATTAGTGACAAGACAAGACAAGTTAGTGACAAGATGAAATACCTGAGATGGGTAAAATCAGTGCAATTGAATATAAAACCTGGGAAGCAGGGATGAAGGGAGAGGAGGATGCCTTCTCTGTAGCAAGCACCATGCTACCTGCGCTTTCCTGAGACTACATTTCAGCCCTCTACACAGTCTGTCTGTGTTCAGCCTGCATCAAGAAGACGATGCTGGAAGAAGCACAGCCAGAGAACAAGAGCATTCATTCTGTTGAGAACAAATAAACCTATGGGAATTGTAGAACCCAGGCCATCAAATTGTGTTCCAATCTGGGTATTCCGGTTATGCTAATTTGGTGAGGGTTTCTTCAGGGTGGACTTGTCAGAGCTGCGAAGACTCCTTCTCTTGGTTGGGATTGGTGATGGGCTGTTGACCACCGCTTTTTTCCCAGAACAAGCAAGGACCCTCTTCCAGAGCCAGCGCAAGGCCTGCCTCAAATTCACGCA